ATTGTACAAAGGTCAGTTGTATACAAGTAGAAGTGTGTATTTACCTGGTTGTAGGCTGTCAGTAATGGCTACGCCTCTCTATTTGGACTGGTAGATCTCGGCAGACTGGCAACTTTAAAAGTAGCTCTAGGTTCAAAAAAGGTTGGGCACGCCTGCTATAATGTAATACATTTCCGCATTAAAATAAACTAGATATTTCATATAATTGATAAATGTTTCTGTTTCAGTGAAACTAGAAACACTTATTTTTATTATGAAGTGTGTTTTCTGATGAACACCTTTAGAGTCTGACTGACAACTACCTTATGGGTTTGGTTGATAGACCTCTAGTGGACATATTGTGTGTTTAAAATTCAAGATTTCAATATAAATAGTTGTTGCACTTTTACTCCTCAGATGAGTTGTACCTCCCACCCATGAGGAAGATTGACAGCCTGTTGAGCGAACAGAAGAAAAGGTTGTTGAGAAGAGTCAACATGAGTGTTCAGCACCAGGTAAACATCTCCGTTTCCTTCTTCTCTTTCCTCAAATCACAGACTGTCTGTTGATCATGAAAAACAACCTATACCTGGGTGTGTGTCTTTATAGTGATACATTACAAACATCTGAATGTGTGAGCGCTGCATTCTGCTCTCCTCTCTCAGGAGTTGCTACACATATTCCCCAAAATGATGGCAGACCCGCTGGAATCTGGGGCTGTCAAAGTTCACCTCGGTGGGGAGGGTTACAACCGCAAAACCCTCAACAGGGTGAAGAGGAGCATCAACAAGCAACAGGTCAGAAACAAAGCCCCCCCCCACACCCCCCACAGGGAAGTGCTTCTCAATGCTGAGCTTTTCACATGTGGAACATCAGGAAGACATGAGCTGAGCACAAACAGAGACAGTGGGAGTCACTCTGTTTACCATCAATAACAATGACTTATCTGAACTGTGCATGGACATTCATCTTTACGTTTCGGAAAAGATTGCAAGATGTAACAAAATGGTAAAAGGTCCTCTCACTTTGATTGTAGGATAAGCGGTTGAGGATCTGTGAAGGTTGGGGGGGGGGGTTATGAACATAAAAGTAGGCTGATAAGTTAATGGCCCACATATTGGCAGAGGAGAAGAGTTCCCATTGTTCTCCATTGTAACGTGGTGAAGACAGAAATTTGAGACCAAAGAGGAAAGTGAGGAAATTTGTTGTTCGAAATCTGAATGTGAAGTGAATGTAGACCACCACAGAGGAGGATAACATATCTCATCAAAGAACATCCTCCTACAGTATATAACTTCAGCTGGAACCCATTGTGAAGTATTATTAAGTTGAACTGCTATGTTTCATTGTGCTTTATCAAATGGTGGGGAAACATTCAGGAGGAAACTCTTCAACCTTGTTTTCTCTCACAACCCTTTTCAGGATCTGAAGCTCTCAATAGAAACGTGTCGGATCTACAGTCTGTATCACTCCCTTCACCACTACAAGTATCACACCTTCCTGCACTGCAAGAAGGAGGTAAGCAGAGCTGCATGCTAAATGTTTGAAGCTGCTACAGCCGGCATATTTACCATGACTCCACACAAATACTGTATGAATGTGTATGGATGTGTGTGAATGTGTGTGAATGTGTGTGGAAATGCTTGAATGTGTTTGAATGTGTTTGAATGTGTGGATGTGTGTGAATGTGTGTGAATGTGTATGAAAATGTTTGAATATGTTTGAATGTGTTTGAATGTGTTTGAATGTGTTTCAATGTGTTTGAATGTGTGTGAGTGGATGAACTTGAGGGTGACAACATTTGGAAGCTTTCAACTCAGAAAGCGTAGTGTGGTGATTATGATGCATCACATCATCAGACTGATCGTCCTGTTGAATCTATCTTAATCAACACCAAGGGGGAGCAGACAGGTTGTGACAATAAGAGATCTGATGAGGGCTTATTATAATCTGAACCGCCTGGACATAGGGGACCAGGTCAGGTAGGCTAGAGGGGCCGAAAGAGACTTATTTATTTCTATATTTGGCACCAAAGCTCACGAACAGTTAAAAAGGAACGGATGGAGAAGTGTTGGATGGAAAATAAAAGGTTTATTGTTCACACAAATTATAAGTTCCACTCCAGGAACAGGGAAGCCGGGAGGTGCGTTCAAGGTCCCCCGGTGTGTGTGAGTGGCTTAGACATCCTCCCCGGACCCTGCCTACTGCAAGACAGACCAGAACCAGATACAACATGCTTTTATTGAGTGACTGATTACCTAATTCTGATCAGCTGTCTTGTCTCCGGCCAAGCCACTCCCATCACTCCAGCAGCCGGCGCTCTAACCACACCCTGCTGCCACAGCCTTGCTTAGCCATCCTTGCATTTGGTCACACAAAATAATGTAATCTGATTACATATTTACAAGTAGGTTGACTTTCCGCCAACTCTGTTTCATGAGCCTAAATATGACTTGTGTGTTTAACTTTAATAAAATAAAAAGTAAACAATTGTTGATCCTTTACTTTACATGTCATACAGCTTAGCCTTCTGGAATGCAATTATATCCACATAAAACCTCCCAAAAATTACAAATAAACCATTCACACATGAAACAATGTCGCCATTGAGTCACACAGACTGATCCATTTCCAGCCACAAGAAGTCTTTTCTTTGATGCATGTTCACTGGCTTTGGTGCCACAAGCAGACTAACAATATATGTTTGATTTGCCATGGCCGACTGCAGTTCTCCTGTTGTTCTGTGTGTGTGTGTGTGTGTGTGTGTGTGTGTGTGTGTGTGTGTGTGTGTGTGTGTGTGTGTGTGTGTGTGTGTGTGTGTGTGTGTGTGTGTGTGTGTGTGTGTGTGTGTGTGTGTGTGTGTGTGTGTGTGTGTGTGTGTGTGTGTGTGTGTGTGTGTGTGTGTGTGTGTGTGTGTGTGACCTGTGTGTGTGACCTGTGTGTGTGTGTGTGTGTGTGTGTGTGTGCGCGTGTGTGTGTGTGTGCAGACGGTGCCTAAGACTCTGAGTCCTCAGTGGAGGGAACAGTTCGACCTCCACCTGTTCGAGGAGACAGGAGGAATTTTAGATATCGCGGTGTGGGACCGAGACACCGGGAGGAGGGACGACTTCATCGGACGGTCAGTCGTTTTTCTGTCCTCATAAGATAAGATGAGATAAGAAGATAAGAAGTACTTTATTGATCCCAATTTGGGAACTGTTTGCGTTGCAGCAGCATAAAAAGACATGGCATTGTATAATAAAAATG